CAGCAGTTTTAAGGTCCCCCAAAATTCTGTTGCAATCGATCGCTTCTTCCGCGTGGCGCTAAGGATCGGCCTTACCTTCAGCTTTGTAGTAACGACTTTGCTCATCATTTATGCTCACTACGATAGCTTTTTTTCGATTCGCCTGAACTGGCACCCATTATTTAAATGTTTGACCATCTGGAGCACCATGACATTGCTATTCTACGAGTCCACGATGTATGTCTCGGTAGCCTGCTTCTGCGAGGTACTGTTGCGGTACCTGCAGGCCCAGGTCACGGCCCTCAACAAACTTCTTGCGGCTTATGCATCCCGAGTAGCACTTCGAGATGCTGCTGCCAGAATGGAAGCGATACGAGTCAATGTATGCACAATAATGAAGCTCAAGAATATCGTCAATGAAGTCTGGCATCCAGCTTTTGTGGCCTCCTCGGCAAGCGTGATGGTCTTGACTTGCATGGCCCTGTACAGATCCTTCACGGAGCTGCATCTGGAGGCCATGGTGGCCAACAGTTATGCCGCCTTCTGCGTCCTCTGCTTCGTCGACATGGTGCTTCTCAGCGATGACCTGGGAAGAGAGGTGAGACATTTGAAGCCCTTTTGAAAAAAAAAGGTACATGTATGCCACGAAGTGCAACGGAACAACAACAACATCAACATCAACAACATCAACATCAACATCAACATCAACATCAACATCAACAACATCATCAACAACATCATCAACAACATCATCAACATCATCAACAACATCAACAACAACATCATCAACATCATCAACATCATCAACATCATCATCAACAACATCATCATCAACAACAACAACAACAACAACAACAACAACAACAACAACAACAACAACAACAACAACAACAACAACATCAACAACATAAACAACAACAACAACATAAACAACAACAACATAAACAACAACATAAACAACAACATAAACGACAACAACAACATAAACAACAACATAAACGACAACAACAACATAAACAACATAAACAACTTAAACAACATAAACAACATCATCAACATCATCAACATCATCAACATCATCAACATAAACAACATCATCAACAACAACAACAACATTTCACCGCAACGGTGAAGCAACGATAGTGGTAGCTACAAACAGAAATCCAGAAACTAGCAGCGACCTTTACTGTACACCATCTCTCGTAATTCTATTCAGCTTCATAGAGCGAAGGGGGTTTTATTCTGTCTGTCGTGTCAACGTGATGTCAGTAATGAGAGCACAACTCGTACAAGGGTATACCAGGCGTCTTAAAGAGCAACTGAACAGGAACAAATACGTAAAAATTAAATGCGAACGTTAGTAAAGTAAATATTCAAACGCTCAAGAATGCAACGAGGCAGCCTGATTTACATAATGGTTGGAGACCTCGCAAGCACATACAGTTTTGTCAGTTGTGAGGTTTACTGGCGTTTGAGGCCCCCGTAATCCGATTATTTCACAAACCGCGTCATTTACAGGTTAAAAAGTTGAAGAACGGCTTAAAATCGGTGCGCATGGTTGAAGTAACAGATGCATACCACCGTCAGGTGAGTGGACCAAAAGGGTATTTATGTTACTGCTTCTGCCGACTGCTGTTGTCCCAAGGATATGGACAACGAAAATAACAGAATTGTTCTTTGTTATTGTGCAGGTCACATACCTACACAGTGCAATAGATCCCGACGACATGCACCTGACGGCCGGGAGCTTTTTCCACCTCGACGGACGACTTCTGGTCGCGGTATGTCGGCGGCCACTTTCTACAACATTGAAGGAACGTCAAAAAGAAAAGCCCGAATGGTTGCGTTGCATCATTAGCGGATGCCCACAAAAATAATTGTTGTTGATGATGATGATGATGATGATATGTGGGGTTTAACGACCCAAAAACCACCATATGATTATGAGAGACGCCGTAGTAGAAGGCTCTTGAAATTTCGATTACCTGGGGGTTCTTTAACGTGCAACCAAATCGGAGCACGTGGGCCTACAGCGTTTTCGCCTCCATCGAAAATGTAGTTGAGATAGCTGATAGTGTTTAAGTGACTGAGACATGTTAGCGCAAGGAATAAAACGACAAACACACACAAAAAATGACGAAGGAAAGCGATACTCGGCACAGAAGCAGGGAAATGTTTCACATATGTGTAGCTTGCCCGTTTCTTGCTTTAATTTTGCGCGTTCCAGTGTCAACCACAACACCTCATTCAAGCACTTGGCATGGACCATGGTGCAATGTTCATGTAGCTTCAAGATTGTCCGAGACCATTATAGTAAGATTACAGGCAGGATGCAAATAGTCGTCTTTTTTCTAGAGCGTTCGAAAAGACCCATGATAACGCTAGAATATTCGATATTGCAAGTAAAAATACCTATGCGGCATCCCACAGACCAGATTATTAAGGGCAGACACTCTCCTCGCCACTACCAGTGTACAGCGGGCACAGTTTATATTCTGACTTTTCGTTGCCAAGGCACATGTTCACCGAAATGACGAATTTCGCCATAAGCATCCAGACTTCCGCTTTGGTCAATGTCACGACCACGTGACATCCTTTTGTCACGAATGCACATGCAGTAGTAAAGTAACTGACCAGAGGTTGCTGTGCAGCTGCCAAAGAGTGCCGCTAGGAAGTGTTCTGGCAAGGAACGGTGACACTTTTCCGAGAGTTGCCATAGAAGCTTACTTGAGGAGGATAGTTTTCGTTGATATATTTACGCGGTAATCTGTCTGCCTGCATGTCTGTGAAAGTTTAGGCAATTGCGGAACGCTCAGCCACCTTGAACTGGTGGCTTCGTTCATGCTCGCGAACGTTGTCGATCAAACAGGAAATATTATGTTGTGTGTTCGTTTATTAGAAAAAAAGACACCGATACGTGATTGTAAAGAACCTAGTGATTATTACTCGGAGCCGAAATGTGACGCCATGGACGAACAAGCGATTTGCCGACTGTAAGACGTCACCCACCAGTGGCCCTGTTCTGCACAAGCTTCTATTTTTCACCGAGTAGAAACAGAATCGTTGTATAAGTGAGCCGTTTATCACTTTGCTGCACGCAGATTTGGTATTTATGCGCAAGTGCCTCTGGTGCACACGTAACACTCAATTCCTGTGTGTGCGTGCGTGAAGAAAAGACTGTCTACGTGGAACGTATTTCTGCTAATAAACAGTTATGAGTAGCACGTGTCTTCGTCCTATTAGGGGCGAAGCTCCTTAAGGCGTGGGCTGTGAGTTCTCTGTATGTAGCCACTTCTCGTTTAGTTCTTGCAGTGTTCACTGGATGGCGGTACTTGTAGCTGACGTTGAAAAGATGCAAGATGCTACAAACTAGACGGCGGTACTTGTAGTTGATGAAAGGTGCGAGATGGTATAAAATATGAATGAAATCACATATGGCACGCGTCATTGGTGGAAGGCAATCGTTCGATTTAGTGCGGCGACGTACGCTAGGGCGAGCGTTGTAATAAAATCGAGTGGGCAAATTGTACGGAGGATTCATGGTGTACCAGGTTTACCTCCGGAGCTTTGCACACTTATCATTCACTTCGTGGATATGGTGGAACTTTTTTTCTTTTAACTGTTGCCTCGTTACCTGAGCTACCACATCTCAGCTGATTGTGGAATTATACCTTGTGATAATGTTTATCATCTGAAGCATAAATACAAACGTCGTATCCAATAAAAAGAAATCGAGGCCGTTTCGCACTATAGTGGTGCCATGCACGGAAGGAAGTAGTCGAGCTGGGTGGCCTTGTTTCAATTAAGTTATTTTTTCTCTTTCTACAATTATCTCAGTTTCATTATGATCTCTTTTTAATCACCTGTTAATATTTCTCTCTACTGTAGCTATCTGTCTTTTCTCCCTTTCTCTCTCTTCTTTGCTTGTTTACATTTTTGCGGCCGTGCTGCTAGTTTTTCAAATTATTTTTTGTATCCATTTTTTTTCATATACTTTTTGCCAATTTCTTACGTCTATCTATATTTTACGTCTATACTCTATGCAATTAATCAATGTTAACTTGCGGGATTGTTATGTTTGTGGGTAGTGCTTGCTTCCTCTTGTAATGCTCTTTTTTTTTCTCGCTTAGATGTGCGGTTCAGTCGTCACGTTCACGGTAATCCTGGTGCAAACAAGTGGGGACCTCCAGCACACGATAGAAACAAAGGCCTAAAGTTGAGACGTGATCGTCTTGTATAGTACACCACGTTGCAATTTATAGCCTGCAACATTACTGAATGAATCCTCGGGAAGTTATCTGTGCTGCTGCTAACACAATAAAAAAAAAAGCTTAGGCGTTACAACTGTTGGCTACTGGAGTGTCATGCATGAACTGACGATTACCGCATGTTCACACATTCGTTCACAATGACGCCGCAAGGGTGAAGCAGTGAATGTGATAGCGACGAATCGGAATGCCATACAAGAAAAGGCTAGCTGCAAGCTCTTTTAGACTCGATGTCTGGTGATTTCAGTTGCAAGTTCTACGCTAGAATGTGCACCATGTTTTTGTGTCGTCATCATTTTTTGCGCTGTTTTTCCCAAATAGCAATGTACTAACTCACCCAAATCAAAGTTCTGCTTGAATGATAATCATGCGGCTCGTCACTTTCGTATTTATTACGCGGGTAAAGGGGGGTAACAGTTATGGGAGTGAAGTCATCAGGCATACTACGTTTATGGGCTTACAACCCGAGGATTGGTTACGCAGGAATAGACTAACAATCAGCACTGAAATAAAGTAGTAACACTTCACCCCCGCAGGAATTTGATAGGTGCAAATGTCCTTGGAGTTAACATTCCTGATATCTTGAGAAATGACTCAAGCTCGTTCATTATCTCATTACGTGATAGCTAGTGACCACTTGGAGTTGCTTCAACAAATCACTGATGCTTTCTTTCGATGTCGTAGCCAAGCGTACGGAGAGGGCAGTGTAGGTGGTTGCCACTGCCAGAAAGTTTTCAATTTTGCATGTGTATTTCACAACAGCTTCTCGTGTAAAGCATAGAAAATGACGAACTGCATAGAAGTGAGCAAATCTTTTATTTGCAATGATTTATTCCTACAGAAACGAGATGATGACAATGTTCCCATAAATATTGATTTTTTTATGAGTCGGCTATTCACATAAGCCGAAATTACAGCGCTGAAAAAGAAACAGGTTGCAATGAAAAAGCTTTGTTAGGCAGCGCGTTCGTTATGGTTGCCCGAATATGTATACATGGGCTTGCGAAACAATTAGGTAATTGCTACAATTACTTGAAATGATATTACATTTAGTGACTGAATAAACTTGAAGCACCTTTCTTAATTTTTTTCGTGTGAGTCTTGTAATTTAGAAACCTCAATACCATTGAACTTTAGGTTTCCCCCGAGACAAATATTAGAATAATTGAGCACGTTTCATCTTTCTTGTTTCATTTCGCCATGTTTGACAAGTTTGTCAGGCTTTGTCATTCTGTGGTAAACTCCCGGTGAGAGCATATATAAATGCGATGAGGTCAATGGGCGCTATGGTAGCCAAGGAGGGGGATTACAAAGCTCAACACACCCCCTTCGGGTTATTTTTCTATTTTGCATGTGTACGGTTAGTAGAGTTATTTATCTAGCTATATACAAGCACACGCACCAACGTTGATAGGCAGATGCATAAAGTACAGTTGAATCCCTCTTTCCCCTCCCACTCACGGAAAAATTTCTTGATTCACAACTGTCAATGGGGCTGTTTATTTATTTATTTTTATTTATTTACAATACTGCCACTCTCATCCGAGAGCATAGCAGGAGGGCATACAAATGTGTGTACAAGAAACATGTGAATCTGCAGGCTTGATTCATGAGGAAGAACAAAAAAGAACATATGCACACAAAGACGGAATAATTGCACAACTTTACGCATAAACACGCCTATATTACAAGCTGTAGTAACAAGAAGAAGAAATAAACCAAAGAAACAAGTCCATCAAAATGGTAAGAATAGTTCCAATACAAGGCTGCAGCAACGAAATACACAAGAAATTAACAGATTTGTAAGCTGGAAATGCTACACGTGTGCTGTTCGGTTAGCGCAACAATAAGTGTTACTTCTACACTGAATAATCTAGCATTTCGACTTACTTAGATAACGAGTCAGTGCTTGTTATCACGCGGTCGAGTTTATTCCACTCGCGTATTTATATAGCAATAGTTGTATTCTCACCATTAGAACCCATATGGTGCATAAATCAAGGCTTTTGTGTGTTCAACTTTTGTGAGCTCTACAGTATTGGGCTGGTAGCTTTTTAATCATAGTTATTACAACGAATGATTGACTTCACACTGGTTATTAGCGAAATTATTTTCCTTGAATGAAAAAAATCTTAATTTTATTTACAAATTAGAAAACAAGAATTGGTGACATTTTGACGACGTACTACTCTATAGTAACATTGATTCCTATTCATTCAAAAAATTTTACTTTTGAAAATATTTAGTTGTCAATGCTTCAGCGCTTCTTTTACTCATACTTGATTGAGTAAAAATAAAGGTAACTATTATTAAAAACAATTAAAACAATATGCACGGTATACATGCCTAAATAATACGAAGATTAAAATGGGAGCCAGGCTTACCATGAGCTTCTGCAAAGACGTGTTACAAGGGGTTCCCGTCGGTGCGTACAGATTGGCGTAGTGCGCGCCAAACTTCCGGTGTGTTATTTTACAACGAAAATGGCAATTATTCGTCCCACTTTCCACCTGCAAGAGCGACAATGCAGTGCCCGTACATAGCACGTACTGCAAGAAGCACGTTGATAACAACATCTGGCGTTTTACGACACAAACCCACGACATGACTACGAGAGACACTGTCGTCAAGGGCTGCGGAAATGTTGATCATTTAGTGTTCATTGCCGCGCACTGAAATCGTACAGTTTCAAGGGCCTTCAGTATTTGGTCTCCGTCGAAATGCAAGCACCACGACCGGTATCGAATCTGCGACCTGCAGGCTGGCAGCCGAGCACCTTACATGTTCCACCAAGGAGGACAAGAAGCAAGTTGAACATCCAAGCTTTACATTGTGCGCAGTTTAAGAGAAACATGCTATATCGTTTATTTGGTGATCACGCATTTGTGTGTTTATTTGTTTACTTATTTATTTAACAATACTGTAGGTCTTCTGCAGACCCATACAGGAAGCGAGCATATAACATCACAGGTAACCAATTAGATACAAAGTTGAGGAAATACAATATTTTGAGGAACGATGCGCACAACAGCGGAACACTCACAATAGCGAGTGCAATACTACATTGGTGCTCTTCCCATACACGAAAAGACGAGAAAAAAATAATAAAAATGTTTTCTTGTTTTAAATCTGTAAGTGTGCGCGCCTTGTAAATTTGTATGAAATGGACCCATTTTTTTCGTTTTGTTAATTGATGTGACATTATTTAGTTGACCGTCTTTTTCCCGCAACTTCGGGTAGCTAATTGTTCTTCCAAAAACGTCCTGTATTGCAATTTTTTACAATAACATATTCAGAAGACTGGATTTAACGCTTAGTTTAGCTTTCCTTTTTTCTATTAATTTACTTCGATTTACATAAACGAATGCAAAACGCTACGATTCGAAGACAACTTAGAAATGAACTAGTGAGAAAGCGCATGTTAGTCAATTGATGTATGATTATTTCGAAGTAGCTTCTTCACATAGCTACGTGAACTCGCTCCAGTGGTCTGCAAACAGTGAAATGTAAAACTAAACTTACCTCGGCGTATGATACATCCTGGTAATCTGGAAAAAACTTTTTGCAGAAGTCTCGTCCTTTAAGCGTAGCGTTGGGCAGATTCAGGAAGCTTCCGGGTAGTAGGATGTTGTGATGGCGTGCTTGGACCTTCAGGCAGCTAGATGTTGGCGTCCTGCAATGTAAAACGTCTCTCAAAAAACAGCTGCAAGCTGTTCGAAAACGGGATTTAAAACATGTACTTTGTTTGCAGGCAGTTAAAAACATGCAGTGGGGAAAAGAGTTCCAGAGACAATAGAGATAGAGACACGCATACAACAGATAAGTTTAGGCATAGAGTCTCCTAAAAAAAACAACATTACAGGAAATTTTGGCGCTAGTGTCTGCGGCGGCTGCTTTGCACGGCACTTCAGCCCGCATGAGAATGTTGGGTAGTACACAAATTGGCTATTCTTCGTTTTTTTTTGTTTTTGGCTCCGCTTGTTTCCGTGTTGCCTGAATTTACTTCGCCGCAATATGAGGTTCAGAAAAGGTTTAGTAGTTACGCTTCGCAACCTTGAGCTTTCGAGGCTCACGAAGCCAAATCGGCTAACAAAGTTCACAACTGTCCATAGTTCTATCTGAAACAGAACCAAAACAACAATAAACAAAGCCACGAGTGCGTGTAAACCCTGTAAGCGCGAAGGTTAGGCAATTTGTGTTACACCCATCATTCACACGGGGGCTGAACAATAACTGCGCCAGAGTCCCCTCTAATTAAATTGAGGAATGGATGAGTTTATCCTCATGCAGCATTTTCCAATAGATTTCCAATATATTTACTCGAGAAAAATGTGGATAAAAGAGTGAATCTGATGGCGTCCCCCACTTCCCTTCTTAACGTCATCATCATCATCACCAGCCTGACTACGTCCACTGCAGGACAAAGGCCTCTCCCATGTTCCGCCAGTTAACCCGGTCCTGTGCTTGCTGCTGCCAATTTATACCCGCAAACTTCTTAATCTCATCTGCCCACCTAACCTTCTGTCTCCCCCTAACCCGCTTCCCTTCTCTGGGAATCCAGTTAGTTACCCTTAACGACCAGCGGTTATCCTGTCTATGCGCTACATGCCCGGCCCATGTCCATTTCCTCTTCTTTATTTCAACTATGATATCCTTAACCCCCGTTTGTCCCCTAATCCACTCTACTCTCTTGTCTCTTAAGCTTTCCAATGCTCGCTGCGTCGTCCTCAATTTAAGCTGAACCCTCTTTGTAAGTCTCCAGGTTTCTGCTCCGTAGCTAGGTACCGGCAAGATACAGCTGTTATATACCTTCCTCTTGAGGGATAGTGGCAATTTACCTTTCATAATTTGAGAGTGCTTGCCGAATGTGCTTCATCCCATTCTTATTCTTCTAGTTAATTCAATGTCGTGGTTAGGCTCTGCGGTTATTACCTGCCCTAAGTAGACATAGTCTTTTACAACTTCAAGTGCACTATTACCTATCTCGAAGCGCTGCTCCTTTCCGAGGTTGTTGTACATTACTTTAGTTTTCTGCAGATTAATTTTAAGACCCACTTTTCTGCTCTCCTTGTCTAACTCCGTAATCATGAGTTGCAATTCGTCCCCTGAGTTACTCAGCAATGCAATGTCATCGGCGAAGCGCAGGTTACTAGGGTATTCTTCATTAACTCTTATCCCTAACTGTTCCCATTCTAGGCTTCTGAAAACCTTCTGTAAGCACGCGGTAAATAGCATTGGGGAGATTGTGTCCCCCTGCCCCACACCCTTCTTGATTGGTATTCTGTTGCTTTCTTTATGAAGCACTATGATAGCAGTTGATCCCCTGTAGAGTTCTTCCAGGATGTTTATATATACTTCATCTACACCCTGATTCCGCAGTGTCTGCATGACGGCTGATATTTCTACTGAATCAAACGCCTTCTCGTAATCTATGAAGGCTATGTATAGTGGTTGGTTATACTCTGAACATTTCTTTATTACCGGATTGATAGTATGAATGTGGTCAATTGTTGAGTAGCCTGTTCGAAATCCGGCTTGTTCCTTTGGTTGATTGAATTCTAATGTTTTTTTACTCTGTTAGCAATTACCTTTGTAAATAGCTTGTATACTACAGAGAGCAAGCTGATCGGCCTGTAATTCTAAAAAAAATCCGCGTGTTGATGGAACTGCATTAAGAGGCCTGGGGTGCGGCCTCACTGGTAACCACCACTGGGAACGCACTCCCTCACCAGAGAAGGATTGGCCACCCTGGTGCAGTATCTGGCCACTACCTCCCACATGCATACGTCAAATAACTTCTCAACGTCACCTCTTAGCTAAACTTGCTTACTATACTATAAATGACTATCCGCTGCGAGTATCGTGTTGTTATAGTTTTGCATATCGATTGGTATGTATCCGTCCAATGAAGTTCAGTTTGACTAAGTGATGTTCATATGGTGTCGTCGAGATCATAGTCGGCATCAGTTAGTTATATTATCAATAAGTTATAAAAAGGCATTACAAGTGTGTTTAAGCTCAAACGAGAATAGCCATGAATGTAGCGCTTTATATGAAACACTAAGAATTGATTGGTCACCGAAGAGCTCTTTAATCATAATGATATGTTGCTGAGATGTTGCTCCTAGGGGTCTGTGGCTTCATCAAGCCGTTTAAAAGGTAGGTTTCTCGTACGCCCGTTCGTATCAGTACGTTCTATGTAGGGATACAAATATTCAGCAAATACTATTAGGATTTTCCGGTGTGAAACTTCCACGCAAAAAGAGACTTCCACAGAAATGATGTGGTATGCTTCAAAGGCTTGCCTTGGAAGCAGCCACATCAGAAAAAAAAAAGCTGATTGTATCAGCAATACTGTCTACATTTTTACACCTTCGAATATGAATTCATGCGTGCGCATCTTTGTTAGTATGTTTTTTCACGTATGCGATAAGTCTTCTTACGCTTGTGCATGGAAAGTTTGTGACTGTGGCATATATATATATGCGGGTTGTTGTGCGAAGAATAAATCAGTTGCAAGTAAATGCCAGTGCTCCTCTTTTGTATGCTTTGTAGTTCATCTCGACTTACCCTGATGTTTTCTCCTTAAACGCAAAAAAGAAAGCGTGGCTGATCCCTCTATTCAGGAATTGGTATAACACGAATGTGAAACGTGTATTCACAGGGGTAGTTAGGCGTTTATTGTGCGCTGTTTTAGCAGTAGCAACAAATTGTGCAGAAAAACAAGCGGATCAAAACTTGCATCAGACACCTCACGCAGAAAACACGCACGAAATTATCCATACGCAGGACGAGCACAGACTGTCACAGCTCGACACTTAAAGCGCGCTGCTCAACAAGAAAGAAAGACCCACGAGACGAGCGCACAAGTAAACACACGGCAAGCGTGAACGACTCACGATTCTTACTTCATCAAGTGCCAGCAGCACGCTCCTTTTGTAAATGTGGTCGTGGCAGCGAGCGAAGTGACCTTTGTCATGTGCCAGCAGCGCGCTCCTTTCATAAATGCGGTCGCGGCAGTGAGCGAAGTGACCTTCGTGCTTTTCCAATTTAGAAGTCTGATAAGGGCGCGTACACAGGAGAGCACACGCTCCGTGGAAGCGACGACCTTTTTAGAGCGCACGCAACGCGCGCTTGTCGCGCCATTTCAGCACTCATAATGAAAACACGCTAATTTTTAGGAGCTCTGAGGACTGCTAAACGGTACATGGTGTATATAAATACCTTTCCATTAGCCCCCTCGACTACGTACGCTTTGTGGCATATATATTGATATGTGTGGCGCGCTGCGAATCGAGAGGTTACTGGTTCAACGCCACTCGAGAAAATATTTCCTTCCCGTTTTATTTCCTGGCAATCTGTTGGTAGTATATACTTTACAACGTCATACCCGTGACGAAAATACGTCAGTGCAGCCGTGGTGAACCCCGGCATAAAACACTTTAGTGTTAAGAGGAGGCATGCAAGAATGAAGCTGGTTCTCATCGAAGAAACTTACATGAGGAAATTTCTGACCGCAAGAACACTGCAGTTGGAAAAGAGATACTGCCATTTTCCTCCAAGATGCATGTGCATCAAGTATCCCTCGCCGAGGTCACATTTTCTTGAACTGCCCTCTCCGTCATGGCTGGAGTTAAGTCTGCGAAATACCAAGTAAGATTTGCGAAGAGCCATTTCTAAAAGTTATAATCGTTCGATTTTCGTAAGCCTACAACAGAGTTTTCTTTGAAAAAATATAGCTTTAAAATATAACAGAACGCACATCCAACACGCCCGAGTAGCTTATAACAGCACGCACTAAAAATACGACAGAGACAGATAATAAAAACAACATACTCAATACCATCCAACATCAAATATGAAGAAACAACGGAGGTCGGTTCTTCGGTATTTAAGTGCTAAAGATTTTTTTGCAAACTTTTGGCGTGCGTGCGTGCATCCGTCCATTCTTCCGTCCATCCACCCATCCAACTAGCCGCTTAGTTCTCGTTGTCGTGATCACCCCTTTAACTTGGTGTGAACCTAAATTAATATAAGAGGGTAAGCTGGTTTGCCCGAATATGACGCACTGGCCAAGATATGAATAATACCGCAATCCCGTCGCGTACGTCGTCAAACACTTCCCGCAAGACATTGGCGCATACCCACGGGTGGGTATGTGCCGCTGGTAAGCGGGTATGTGCCACAGGTGATTGACACTTAGTATCTACCCAGGAACGACGAAAACACACGTTGGCTATTTGAACGCGTGAGCGTTAAGAAAAACCTGACATAGGCAGCGTCCACCCAACGAATGCAAAGAATCAATGTCAGGGTCCCAGCAGACATTGAACCCGAGCATTCTGCGTGACATTCAAACATTCTACCACAGAGGCACGCCGGGTCTCGGAAGTACTTTTCAAATAGACCTTAATGTTCGTGAAATGTCAATTGCGGTCAGTACTGGCTATCCAATTTTATAAACATTACACGTGTACGGCTATGGCCACGTCTTTGTAGAGCACCCGAGCAGTCGGTTTTTGCTCTGTGGGCCAAAAACCTGAGGCAGCTTTGGGCTCTGAAGGAGTGCATCAGGAGCAGGCACGGCCTAGTTGTCAGGCTGACCACGTCAGTGCCTTATACTGCCCCAAGGTGTCGCCCCGCATAGAAAAACCGGCTTTTTGCGTGCTCTACACAGACGTGGCCATGGCTGTACTCCTACTGATACAGCCGTTCCGTTGGGCTAATGTCAATCGTAGTTAGGTGACATACGCGGAAGTTGATTTATGTAGCAGTAACTTTCTTCCGTACTATACTAGTGGAGATGCTGGCTTAAGGTAGCGCGCATAAAGACAGATTATAAGGATAGACAAAGATCAGAGCCTCATCGAGCTGAGTTGCAATTCAGCGTTTTCTCAGCCTTATGTTTTATTTCGTTCTTCCCGTTTGTAATTGCCAAAAGGGGCCTAACAAGAGTGCAAGAAAAATTGATGTCGTAACAACAAGATTTCACTGTAGTTACTACAGAATCCCGCTCAGTGACAGATTATGCTGTGCAACTTATATTTTGTATCGATACAACAGAAGTGAATTCCGTCGCATGTGTTTCTGCAAAACAGAGCTGCAGTATGCTATGCCGGAAGTACCACAGTAAGATGGTTTTGCACAGCATGCACCCTTTCATCACAACCCAAATATTCGTCAAATAATATCATGCATTGGTTGTAGCACTACAGAAACCTGATGGCGCAGCAAACATCCAAAGTAGCTTCACAACAAACTGCAGGTTAACTACGGCATTTCATGTCCCGAAATGTGACAATACGACAGAACTTACTGTCGTCAAATTCTGTTATATTTTTTTGAGTGGGCAGTTACGGATGTGTGCTACTATGTGTTGCAGAAATGGGAAGCTCATTGTGGAAACATGGCTAGTCCGACAGCAGACGAAAACTGTACGACTGTATGAAACACAGATCTATAAACAAAGGAATCAAATAGAAAAAACCTAGCCTTGAGTTACTTACAAATGCGCTATTTCGTGGGTCATAGACTGCACAGCGGAAAACGATTTCGGCGTGTCCACTGCGAGGCCTACCTTGTGGATTGTGCACGCCGATCCCACGAATGCCAGTCCTGTGCGGCCACCGGGCATCATGCAGAGTGGGTAATAGCGTTAGGAAACGCACTCGGCAAGTATGCATTGGGCATGTTCAACAACTGCTGATAAGGTTACGAGGCATCCTGGCTCGGTGTTTTGGAATCGAAATATAATTCCTGGTCGAGATGAAACACATCGATGTGCTGTGGACGCGAGCTGCAGTTATGACACGTCGCGAAGATCACACTATCACGCGAATAATTTATCACTTGTTACGGCTACAAAATTTTGCCGTCATGCAACGGGGAAGCTTCATACAGTCTCACAGCTGCCGCAACGTGGCACGACTAAGCTACATATGGCATTGTTCGCTTTCCGAAACGATTGCGTGGTGCGGCACGAGCTGACGTTTGTCGTGCTTTATGTACAGTCTCAATTTGTATGAAAGGGAACACGCGAGCGCGCCGCCCGAGCACTCTGGCGGTTGCTTGTAGCGCGTTCAAGCGGGAGCGATAGCAACGATGGATGGGTGGATGGATGTATCCGGCTGTGCGCTTCAAATCGGGCAGCGGCTCATACCACCTAGCCATAAAGTTAAGTACTATCACTGTGTGTTTAAGGATTCAGTTTCACTCGCGCCTCGATTGTAGCCACCAATAAGTTCACCTCCTCCTGCTTATTTCTGACCGTTTAAAGTATATTTTGCCTTTACTGTCCCAAAACCACAAGGCTTTGAAAAATTCGGCACCATAATTTTGGAATCATCAGTCGGCTGCTCTTTCGTTCACCTTTGCTAGTGCCTCCTCAGCGGACTTGAGCCTTTCTCCCGTAGCCCTCGTGTTCTCTTGCTCTGTCGCCAACGCAGTCTCCAGCTCGGTGATCCTCATCAGCAGTTCACTCTAGGCAATGATCATTTTCTCAATTTTTCCTCGACCTCACGTTGCCTAAACTTGGCGTCAGCCTCCTCTACATCCGCGTCTGCAATGGGGTCCATTTTCAAACCCATACCACATCCTGAACATTTTACAGCTTTTTTAACCATGTATTATCGACATCAATTGCCCTTATGAATGGTCCCACTCGATAATGGCAAAACACGGCATACGACGAAACCTGCCCTACGAAAAAAAGAAAGTAAGCTATATTACAAAAATTTGCGTGTTCGGTGTACGTGCACCTCCCCCACGGGGTGGCAAGAGAAAAACACAAAACAAACCAGTAAATACCTAGACTGACCCCCGACAAAGCCGTACAATGTAATAAGCGCTACAAAAGTTCTAACTGCTGCCTAAATTGTTATAAAAGCAAGCTCGAAACATGCAAAACCACTCATCTGCGCAGTCGATAGGGAGCGCTCAAAAAACACGTCCATTCACCGTCCAGCCGGTGACTGCGCCAGCAACAAACCACAGCCTCTATTTTCGCTTTCTAGTGGTGAGCAAAACAACCAGCCATTGGTGATGTGGAAACAGCGGTAAGATAGCTTCCCCCCCCCTTCAAGGCGATTAGGCCCGGCCTTACGTAATCACCTTGAAGAGGGAGGGGGTTGCTTTCTTGCTACTGGTTCCATATCATCAATGACCACTTGTTTTGCTCGCCAAAAGACGGAAATAGAGGCTGTGGTTGCTATCGCTACCGCTTGAACGCGCTACAAGCAGCCGTCGGAGCGCTCGGGCCACGCGCTCGCGTGTTCCCTTTCATTAAAATTGGCACTGCACATGTGCTGCGCTGTTTATTCTCTTTTGTTTTCTTTGAAACTTCTGAAGGTGGCTGGGGGACGACGCTGCCGTACACACTTGGCGTGCAGACAGGTGGTTCCGTTCAAAGAGAACCGAAAGACGCGTTTGGTTCGCCGAGTAAAAGGAGCAGCGTGAGATATGAAAGTGGGCCCTACCGGAGCTAAACAGCGGTGATTTCAATTTCGAATCAATGTGCACGTGCATGTGCTTGATACACATTGATGCCCTGGACAGTGTCACTGCCTGCGATTCCACAGAAGCCGCCTTTGTAGTGCTGATTCAATATTCTTTAGTTAAAAATGCTCGTCACAGTTGAACGAATAACGGAACAGATGTGCTGGGTAGATGAGCATCTCCCTGCACAATCAACAAATCGCAATTCCTTCTCGGGTAATGAGTGCAAAGCCCAGGTTGCCTCTTTTTCCAAGCGTCACCAATAGAATATAATTATGAGTACGCATCCTTTATTTTAGGCAAAGATATAAAAAAAAGTTGAACCTGTGAAAGCGTCCTGAGCATTGTGGCACCGTGCGCTTAACTCGGAACAAATTTGCACTGCTACTCGCCGACTGCTTTGCGTGAAGTCATTTTTCACAATGTGCCGGATCTGCTGGATTTTTTTAATGGTTCCGGCTACTGCATATAATGCGTAGGAATTAAAAAGAACATGATATACACATCAGGACACCCCACTGCTGTATACATAACGTTGCGGAATATAAAAGCAAAAGTACAGTTGCGCTAACAGTGGGGAACCTGATTGCAAGATTACATTTTAGGCTCAGATTGCTGCGTATAGACGTCGAGAATTAATTCACTGGAGATATGCCAGTATTTACCTCAATTTGAGCTGTCACTTCATTCCAGCTACTAGTAATTGCCTCACCTTCGGTGCCGAAGCGGATTGTACGGCCATGTTTCTGTGCCACTGTTCGCCTGAAACGACAGCAAGAACAGCAGGAAATCCGATGAGTGAAAACAATGAATACACACGAATGTTTCTCGACGAATGTTTACAGAGCAGTGCCGGTGCTCGAAGTGCGTGCCTGCTGAAGAAATAATTTATGCTTACGCTTTTGTATTCTCATAGCGACGCTGTATCAGTACGGCAAAAGAGGGAACTAACCGGCAGGGATTCACTTCAGAAAGATTTGGACACATGAGAAGCGATACAGACGCCTTTAGAAACACTTGCGTCAAGAACCTGTACACTTCATGAGTTACTTGTCGTTCTCGACTGTAACAATAAAGATTTCGCTCAGAATGCGTCTAACATTTTATCAGTGCTCGCAAGCCCGGCAAAATGTTTTAGTGGTTGCGCATAAGGTGCGAAATGATAGTAATATTTTTTAATCTACAGTTAACTCTTTGACCGACTATCATAAGCGGTGGTAGTTTCAGCTGTATGGTGTAAAAAAGTGTTCTACCTTTTCTAATAGGTCCGTTCATAACAGTTAAGCAAGGCCATAGTTCAGACACTTTTTATCCTGCCTACTGCTTGAGCATTGCACACACATGATCAAAGATAGCCATGTTAGCCAAGTTGAAAGCCTTACAAGTTGAAAGCCTCACTCATTTTCCACGCACGGTCTCAGATTGGAACGAAACAACCCAGGCATCCTCACAGAATCTATTTCTCTTTCGCTGTAAATAGCATTGTCTTGCAAATGCAGGTTTCCGATCTTTTATTACAGCGTTTTTTTCCTTTTCTTTTTCTTCTTGTATGTGCTGTTAATTCTTATTGTATATATTCACTACTTTCTTTGCTTGAACAGTGAAAATAATGGCGATTATTGTTTTGCATTTATTATGTATTTATTTTTACTTTAATTGCAAAACATATGAAGTATGAATTGGTGGTGTTTTTTCTCTTTTGTCCAGTACATGCGTTATTATGAAACAATTTTCTATGTCGCTCCTTCTGTTCACTGTGAGTGTATGAAACATTCACCCCAAACAATTTTTATGCCACTTATTGTTTCAACTAGGTCCTCTTGTAACTGTCCACCTGCTTGGATCTAACCGGTCTGCAGTATGTAATAAATAAATAATATTAATACCTCACAATGCCCCAATGGCGACTGAAAGCATTAGGCAGAAGTAAAGAAAGCGGGAAAGTACCTAGGACGGAGGCACATTTGCATGAAAGAAGCTTGTGAGTCTAAATGACTTTGAAAAGGGAAAAGAAAGAAATAAGCGTCGTTCCGTTACTGCCTCTCTCAATGGAGGACACCTCCACAGTTCGGCACAGATAATGAGAGAATGGAAATTAAAGAGAGAGAAGAAAAGAGGTAAGAGAAGGTTTGAAACAGCATTCGCTCCGCCTCACATAGCGCTCGGCTTGTACGAGTTCGTAGCTTTAGATAATGACATCGGATATCTTGTGCTGCGCGTGTTGTTAGAATGCAAATGAGCATCTTATCACTAATTTTTTAGAAAGCTCATTGCACTCAGAATCTTAAAAATTTGGAGGACGCTTGAGTTTCCCCTTCAAGAGTCGGCCGCGACAGCGTAACTGGTCTTCGTGCGTATCACCTTCTGATCTGCTAACCTGTCTCGGCTCTTTCATTGATTGATTGATTGATTGATATGTGGGGTTTAGCGTCCCAAAACCACCATATGATTATGAGAGACGCCGTAATGGAGGGCTCCGGAAATTTTGACCTGCCTGGGGTTCTTTTACATGCACCCAAATGTGAGCCCACGGGCCTACAACATTTCCGCCTCCATCGAATATGAGGCCGCCGCAGCTGGGATTCGATCCCGCGATTTGCGGGTCAGCAGCTGAGTACCTTAGCGACTAGACCAACGTGGCGGAGCTGGCTTAGTTCTCCGTGCATGCCCCAAGCACGCCGTAATTAACGACTCTGCTCGTAACATTGGCCGCTTTCGAGCTATAATTTAACGCATATTGCGAGCACAGATGTTCAGTGCCCACTATATATGCATGCCATAATTATTTATTTGGCGAATCAGCAGAGGCCTCACTATGCGTCCGTAGGGCAACACGCCAACGTAATACGCTTTATTGTTGATGATTGCGCTGTTGTGATGGTTAAATATGTCTGAGCGCTTCGTAGGGAGCAGCCCTTTAAAGCACCCACTCATTGCTAAATTCACATCTTCAGACTAGTTGCGCGATTCTACGATTGTGTCACGATATACTCGATGCATTCAGGAGTTTTTTATTTTTTCCGGTAGATGACATTCATATGCCATAAAATGCTGAGCAAGCATCCTCACCCCCTTCCCCCTATTTGAGAGATCTGAAATAAGCCTCATTAATTGAGCAAGCAGACCCGCAACCCACTCCCCCTCCACTGCGGCCGCTTTTTATTG